GAGAGAGCGAACAGAGAGATGAGAGAGAGATGAGAGAGAGAGAGAGAGACAGTGAGAGTGTGAGAGTGAGAGTGATGAGGGGGGGGGCTTCGACCTGAGAAAGAAACCTTGCTATCGCAAGCCAAGGACGATTTACAAATACATCTCGAAGCCAGATAGGCTTTGGTAGCAGGGCTTCAACGTCAGCACTGACTTTGGAGACTGAATGGTTTCAGAAGACATTTTCAACCACTTCGTGTGCACCTCAACCCGGACCAACGGTCGTCTTAGGTGCGATCTGCTGTCCGTCGTCTTCCACTTCAAGGATCTCACGTTGGAGGTCATACGGCTCCTCCTTTATATGTGGCTCTTAGCCCGGATCCTCCTGTGAGAGAAGAGAGAGAAGAGAGACAGAAAGACGAGAAACAGGGAGGAGAGAGAGAGAGAGAGAGCGAGAGAGCGAACAGAGAGATGAGAGAGAGAGAGGCAGTGAGAGTGTGAGAGTGAGAGTGATGGGGGGGGGGGGGGTCGACCTGAAAAATCAGGGGTTAGAATTTGCACCCGGTCGAAAGAAACCTTGCTATCGCAAGAGTAACTCCAGCTAGCTTCGCTAGCTTTCGTGACAATTTGCTTGAGCGGAAGCATCTCACACATCATAAATTCCAGCACGCGCACACAACTGTCTTTCCTACGCGCGTTTTTTAGGGCACTCGAACAAGCTTCCTTTCAGCATTTTTTCAGCAGAAAAAAGAAACAGGTCCTTCACCCAAACGTTGTCAGTCGCAAAGGTGGCAAAGAGTGGTATCGCCACCAGTAGGAGGCTGCAAAGCACCCACAAACAGTAGGCCTGCCATGGCACTCCATGTTCAACCAACTCTCAAATGGCAAACAAACAACTTAGCTACAAAATCTGCCATCAAAATCCTACAAACTGACACAAAATGATAGATGCAAGTCAAGTCAAATTTTTACACTTACCTTTCGTGAAAAATACCCGGAAGGTTTTGACTTGGCCGGAAGTGTGACTCGAACGTTTGAGCAAATTTTCAATGTGATTTTTTTCCAAGAAGAAACCTGTTGAATCCTGTTGATGCATAGATCACATAGGAATTAGTACTGTACCACAATAACAGGCAAGCCAATGGAAGCAAACCAACTCAGCCAGGCGGACGACTGAGCATCTCGGTGCCACGAAAAGCCTGGTGTAAGGTAAGGAGTGGCATTCCACATCTTGGAATGGCCTCAAAGTGACGCAGCATCAACTATTCATGTCACAAACACTTCATTTCACCTCGAGACAAACACTATCTGAAGTAAACCAGTTTTGGCATATGTTGCACTAATTATGACGTATTTGATCGTATTTGTTTGACATGTGTATTTGGTTTTCACATGATTGAGAATTGGATGTGTTTCAAACCAAGAGGCCACAATGTCATTCTGCATCTCCCAGCGACAAATTGTACATGGCCACACTTTTTGGGTTCACACTCTGCTGTAATGTGTGGTCCCTCCGAACAAGTTCTTACACATCTATCGTCAGCATCATGCAGATTGTGTGATGTGGCAAAACACTGATTGAATGTTTGATGGCGAAACGTGATGTGACGCCACGAGACACCACGTGGTTCTAATCACTAGCTCTCCACTCAGTCTAAGCTCAAGCAGCACGTCTTCAGCATGATTTGTGCAATTTTCGTCGCGCCCTGCCCCCCCCTCAATACATTCTTTTGCTGAGCACGCCATGAATGAGTTCTTTTACAAATCCGGTCAAACGTGACTGAAACATGCTGAAACCCAACAACTTGACCAAAAGACGCGCTTGGTTTATGCTCGTCGCTCTTCCTGCTGCGTAGCTTCTCACCGCGAACTGATTGAGATGCCTGTCGACCCAATGCAGGGACACGGCCACCAACGACTGCTGTCAAAACCCCATGAATCTAGACACCTGATGAAGATGAATTTGTTGAATTATGTTGAACTATCTTATCTTGTGGCTGCTCCGCCAGCTCTGCGGACGAACGTGCTGTCCAAGGTGGCACCTGTGATGAAGGATGCTCAGCCTCCTGGATGGCAAGCCTGGGTGTCGGTATGGTTGAAGACTGACCATGACATCGTTTACTGCTTTGATCTGCTTTGCGGCCGGGGGCCGCGCGACCGAGGATCCTTGCCACACACATCCGAAAAGTCGCAGTTGATGAACTCCACCTTGGCAACTCCAAACGTGTGCGTGTGCACCGAATGCTGTTGGGGCCTTTTGGCCTGCGCACCAAGTGTGAAGTTGACTCCAACTGGGGCATGGGCGCAGTTCTCGACACCTGGGCGACCACCAATGAGATCTGGTGTCTGATCCACAGGCACTTGCCTGAGTGCATCCGTCACACTGAGTCTGCGAATGTCTCACCGCCATTTGACCGTGAACATGTGTGAACTGTGGGAATTGCGGAAACCTGGTGATCCTGGCTTTCTGAGATCTGGTCAGGGTGCCAGTGAAGGTGGGTGACAGATTCATGATTCATCCACCCAGTGATGGCTCGGCTCTTTTGGGCCGCCGCGCTTGGAGACGAAGCGTATCCGTGCTCCTTCAAACACCGACCTGACACGGGCAGCGGCGTATGCTGTGACCACCACAACACACTGTCTAAGTAGAGGACATAATTCAGCAAAGTCTTCGCTTTTCAGGGAGGCCTATCGCCTTTTGCAGGCTTGTTCGCCCAACACGCCTGAAATACAAGACCGCTCTTTACTACATAAGTGAGTCATGGCGGTTGCTCACATGCTACTTCACTTGCTTTCCTCGCTGACTCGATCCCAGGCCTCCGCCGGCTCCGGCGCCGCGCCTCTCGGCGCTGATCTTCCTGGCCTCAGGTGGCGAAGTGGGTCGAAAGCTTGAAAGACAACAAAACACATATGGGAAGGGGAACAAAACAGGGATGGGAATTTGGAGTAAAAGAATGTAAATATCACGGCATAATACGGTATATCTGTTCGAAAATTGACCAAGGAGAAGTACCTGCGATGCCCCCTAAGTCTGAACGTCTTGTCTTAGGCTTGCTACTCTGGAGTGCCTTGAACTCTTCCCTGCTCTTCTCCTGATGGGGATATGTCACCCGGTGTATCTCAAGAGTTCAGCTTTGCCTGTTTGACCTATCGCTACTCAATCAAACAGTTCATCCACCAACTAAGTCATCATAGTGGAGGATCCATGCTCCAATTGTTTCCCTTGCACTTGATTCTAGCCTTTGGTTGTATTGACGCCAGCTTGATGATTTTGCGGTCGTTCCATGCTTCCCTGCATCTCGATCTTTCTTTCATCTTCCACCAGCAAAGATGAGAATGAACATTGATGGACTCGCCATGATGGTATTCGCCTCCGTCCGAACTGCCTCTTGAAGTCGCGCTTCTTGTGTGAGCCTGGTTTGCTTAGGTCAATGAACACCCCATCGCAGCTCCGAAGATTCTGCCAGAAGTGTCACAAAGAACTTGGTCAATTCCATTTTCTCTGGGAGGGGTCCGCTTTTCAAACAATCATCGTAAACATTTGCCATCTTGAACCTTCAACAAAATGCTTGTGATGCCAGCGTATACCCTTAGCTTCACTGACATTTCCTTACTGCAATCAGAGTTACGTCATCGTGCTCAAAAACTGTGGTTGGGAAAGAGATCTCGACATCCTGGGAGTCGCACGAGCTCTTCGGCTTGAGTGGCTTGCGGCTAGGCGCTTTGGCCTGGAAGCGTTCGGATCGGTCGACAGGTGCAACAAGCAAATGCCATTCATGCGACTGGACATCACATGAAGCATGTCACACCGCCAAGGAATCCTTTCTTTCAACCATCTTTAACCCGAGCTCCTACCTGCGCCACGAGCTCCTGTTCGCGCGAGCCACGCCGTTGTTCCACGGTGGACTGGCGCAAGCTCCTCCCAAAAACAAGAACTCGAGGGAGATATATTGATAGCTGATAGCCAAAGGTGTTTTCTCTGTTTATGTGAGGCATGCGAATTTGGGTGACCTCATCTTTTGAGAAAGTGTGATCTGCGTTTCCCTTCTGCTGAGCATCGTTTTAGCATTTGCGGACGTCCTTTGGAGCTGGTCGGGCACCGTGTGGCACCAGACTTGACCATTGAAGCCCAATGGCTTCATTTCAATCAAAAATGCCAGCCCCCCAAAGAGTAACCTGGCGCTCCTGCTGCCAGAAATAGAAGCTGGCTTTCATCTTCATCTTCCATCATCTTGTGCATCACTCTTAGGATCTAACATGCATTCTTTCAAGCTGAGGGCAGAAAAAGTGCGTCCGCATGACATGGACCGAAGAGAAGTCTGCGGGGTTTCCCATCAAACCTCCCCCAGTCGTCTCCTGTCTGAAGGTAGATATCTGATCCTCCGTCGGGGGGCTCGTACTGGAGCCGCCGGCGAAACCGCCGCAGGAAACGGCTCTGGAGGGGCCATGCCCGTGCGGCGTTTCTTGGCCTTGGCGTCAGGTCACAGGTCCAAGCCTTCACTGACATATAGATCATGGTGGGGGGTTGTCCATATTTATTCTGTATGATTGTATTATATATATATATACCTTCATTGATTTTTTGTTTGTGCAGCTGCTAACAGGTCCCTACGGATCCCGTTGCCTTGTGAAAATCTACTGACAACACACATAGACACAACTGAGAGATACTGAGAGGAACACGAAAATGCCTTTTGCATGGCGATGATCTGGTCCAAATCTAGTCGCTGTCACGCGAAATAGCCATCACTTTTGACATGAATGGGCCATCAACTGTGCAAGGCCAAAAACCCCTTGTTGACTGTCAAGGCCCAAATTCTCATGACGTATTGGATACCCTGTAAGAAGAATGTGGAAGAATGAATACGTGGGACGCACTATCCATGGTTGTGTCTTTTTGGTAGGCTCCATTGATTTCCGGCTCGAGTAGTCACGAAGCTTGTTGAGTTCTACCGTGTGTGCAGGGCAAATTCCTACACCTCACTTTGCAACCTCAAACTAGCTGGTGGGACAAATTGTTCCATTGTGATGGGTAGGCCTGTAACTGGGACAATTGATGCCATTAAGATCCATTAGGTCATTAAGTCATTAAGTGCATAGCTGGCACAAGCATTAAGCATGATGCAAACAAGCCCCTAGACAGTCATTGCCAAATTGGACAAACTAACTTGCCCTCAAGAATCCAAACGTTTCGTGGATCTGTCCATTGATGTCTAGTGCAAACATCGCTGGACCCACCCAAGAAAAACAGAATTCGATGCTACAGGTCCGGCAGAAACCAACAGGTCTCATCTTTCCAAAATGCCAAGCCAAAGGCCAGGGCTGTTGCGGCTCTTTGCTGCATGCACCATCTTACCCTGACTCACTTCCAGTGTCTCAGTAGCCTATTCAGGTGCAGCGACATATCTCCGAGACTTACCGAGCACAAGCACCCCACGGCTGCACCGCTGCACCCCTTGTGTAAAACTTCAGCGCTGTGTTGGCCTCACCAGCCCGCTGGCGGGTTGTCGGCCTCACCCGTGCCCCTAGCGTCACACAAAATCATTGCAAGCTGCCATTGCCCGTTGTTCTCACAGGCACTGATGGCCGCATTGTAGCTGGAGGCATCTGGCTGAAGCTTTGCAAAGGACATACCTGCGAAAAGGATCAATGCTTGCTCCCACTGCTTGCCTTTGTCGCAGGCTCTAATGGTCGCATTGTACGTAATGACATTGGGGGGAACGCTAGCCTTGGACATGCTCTCAAAAAACGATAAAGCTAGCTGCCATTGCCCATCCTGCTCACAAGCACCAATAGCTCCAATGTAGCTAACAAAATCTGGTTGAATATCTGCTCTGGGCATGCACTGAAATACCATCAATGCTGCTTGCCATTGCCCACCCTTTTGACACGCACCGGCAATGGCAGTGTAAGTAATCAAATCTGGCTGAATCATCGCTGCCGGCATGTCCTGGAACAAGCTCAAGGCCTGCCGCCACTGACCCCGCTTCTCACACGCGCTGATGGTGGCATTGTAACTAACAACGGTAGGTTGAATCCTTGAATTTGATATGCTCTCAATCAACTTCAAGGCATGTTGCCACTGACCACTCTTCTCGCAGGCGCTTATGCTCGCATTGTAGCTTACGACATCCGGGATAATCTTAACCTTAGGCATATGCTCAAACAACATCAATGCTAGCTGCCATTGAGCACCCTTCTCACAGGCACTGATAGTAGCATTGTAGCTGACAACTATGGGTTGCACCTTTGCTGTGGGCATGCTCTCAAACAACCTGAATGCTTCTTGCCACCTTCCCCCCTTCTCACAGGCACTGATAGCTGCATTGTAGCTGATGACATTGGGTTCAGCCTTTCCACCTGACATGCCCTCAAACAACGCCAATGCCAGCTGCCATTGACCGCCCTTCTCACAGGCACTCATGGCTGCATTGTAGCTGATGGCATTCGGCTGAACCTTTGCCTCACACATGGCCACTAACAACATCATTCCTTGCTGCCAATGGCCGCCTTTTTCACAAGCACTGATCGTTGCACTGTAGCTAATAACATCAGGCTGAGTATGCGTCTCCGAGATATGCTCAAACAAAGTCAATGCTACTCGCCATTGCCCGGCCTTCTCACATGCCGTGATGCTTGCATTGTAGCTAATGATTTGGGGCCGGACGCCAGTCTTGGGCATGTCCTCCAAGAAGCTCAATGCAACCTGCCATTGGCTGGCCTTCCCGCAGGCGGTTATGACTGCATTGTAGCTGATAACATTTGGAGCTCTGGACCTGCACAAGGATTCAAACAGCTTCAAGGCATGTTGCCATTGCCCGCCCTTCTCGCAGGCACTTATGGTTGCACTGTAGCTTACGACATCGGGAGAGACATGTGCCCTGGGCATGCCCTCAAGCAACATCAATGCTATCTGCCATTGCTTGCCCTTCTCGCAGGCACTGGTGACAGCAGAGTAGCTGATTAAATCTGGCTGAATCAGCGCTGTAGGCATGTCATGGAACAGCCTCAAGGCGTGCTGCCATTGCCCGCCCTTCGCGCAGGCACTGAGAGCCGCACTGCAACTCACAACAGTAGGTTGAACCCTTGCCTTGGGCATGACCTCTAACAACTCTAATGCTTGCTCCCACAATTTCGATTTGGCACATGCAGAAATTCCTTCAACGTAATTCGTTGCGTTCAATTTTACGCTGGCATCTTGCCTGATGGTCTCCAGGGTGGCAAAAGCTAGTCTACCTCTCTCATGCTGAGAGCACATTTTCAAAAGTTGCTGCAGCTTCTCTCCGGAGCGCGGATTTGCTTCAAGAGCTTGGACCTTTGCTTCAAGCAAATCATTCTTCGAACGTGGAAGTCGCTTCTGTCCTCGTATTTGCCTGTGAACTCTGTGGGCCCCGTCCTTCATCCGAAAAAGCCACCAGCTGCCACTGCGTGCCAGCTCGAGCCAGCGGCCACGGTTCCCCAAAAGGGATTCTATAAAGCCAACTGGGAGCTTCACGTTCAATTGTCGGGATGGTAAGGGTCCCGGTCATATCTTCATCAGGGCGAGGCGGGGATTGTACGGTTCGATGAAACAAGAATCAACAAGGTCCCTAGGATCTTTGTTGTGAATGTCCTGGTCTAATATGCCTGCTATCGGTTGAAACTCAGGAGACATTGTCTTTGAGCTCCGCTTGAACTCAAATGGTCTGCACCTCTTCAATGGGGGCCTGGCCGTCTTCTCCTGCGGGTGCCATCCCAGGATTCGATTGGTGGTTTGTGTCACTCTATGCCAACATCTCCCAAACAAAGCACCATGTCGTCCCGCAAATGGGATATCCTAATATCTGATGAATCTGATCTGACTATAGTATCCACAGTGACATATAGTGACCATAGCGAGTAAAGGTGAATGGTTCAATGATTCATGCTTCACCTCAGCAATGACTTCGCCTCATCTGGCTCTTCCTCTGTTGCCCGGCTAAAGTCTGAGTCCTCAGACTCGGAGGACTCCTGGCTCGGCAGCAGTCGTCACCGGCGGAGCCGCTGTGCGCTCTGCAACGGACACGAGGCATTCAATGGACACACGTGATGAGAGGAATGTGTGCTCGAGCTTGTCGAATTTACTGCATTATTCTTTGCAATTTTACAATGCAGTTTTGTTGGGATGATTTCTTGTGAGGGAGGGGCACAGGGTTTCCCAGCAGTGCCCCTTCCTCCTGACACAAAGTACTGGGAAGGGTGTGCTGCAACCAAGTGCTTGGAAGATGGCTGTGATGTTTTTGTTACAGTATTTTTCTGGAGGCGCGAGTGAAAAGGACAAAAAGGACAGCTAGTGCAGGAGAGCCACTCTTAATAGTCAGGTGCAGGAAATCGGAAAGCGTTTGCAGATTTTGTATTGGGGTCGGGGGAGGGAGCGGCACCTTCCCCGAAGTGACTGGAAACCAGTCAGCAGCAGCAAACAAACTCAAATCTGGCCCCACAGAAGTTCAGAAGCCACAAGAGAAGCCATTAAAGTCCAACAAGATCCAAGAACCACCAAAAGCAAGCCATCAAAAAAAACACATTTTACCTCTCAACCAAACGTCAAAGCCACACAAGCCGCCATAAGTTACCATAAGCCAAAAGCCATGCAAAAGCCACGTTGTTTACGCTAGGGCCAGTTAGAAGATGTTAGAAGCCAAAAGTCACATACAGTAATTAAGCCAAAAGCTACAAAAGGCAGAACAAAGAACAACACATATTACCGCTCAAATACCATCCTGGATCCTCCCCTCCCTATCTATATAAATCAATTGTCTCCAAAAATCACGGATAGCTCAAATGAATGGTGCCAGATCCACAAACACGGAACGCAAAGTTATAAGTTATATAGCTAAGCAGCTAGCACATGTAAGCACTAGATGGTCCTCCGTTGAGTGTGACAAAGCCACTGAGGTTTTTGGAGGTCGTAGGCAAAAGCAGCACGACCTGTGTGAGCCAGTGGCACTCCTGGGGGCGCCACCCCTTGTTCAAACATGGCCCTTTGATCACAAGCTGCCACCATGCGAATTGTGCCCAAGATTTGATCCCATCCTCATCAACCTGATGAAATTCGCTGTCCGATGAAGCATCCTGGAAATCTGCACGATCCCAAAAGTCCTGGCGCTTCTGAAAGCCGACCCGAAACTGCTCAGTTTTTTTTCCCTGTAGCAAATTAGATGTCTCTCATGGGGAAGCCCCAACGCTGAAGAACCGTACCCACCAATGACCGAAGGTCGAAAGTTCCAACGAACACGGACCCCGATCAGTGACAAATACCTCTCGGCGGCCCTTCTTTCAACCGCTTCGCTCGGACCCGGTCATGTTTGCTCGCCGACCTGGCGCTCCGCCGCGACCGAGTGGGGCGCTCCGCCGGGGAGGCGGACCACAGCAGTCGGGCCACTCGGCGGTCCTCGTCGTCCAGCAACTCCTTGCCGTCTAGGACCGTCCGCTGCCCACGAGTCTGTCGCTTTGGACCTCGCAAAAGAGGCGCGCGTTCCGCGGCGTTTGGAAGACCAGTTCTCTCTTAAGGCTTTTTGCAGTTCTTCCGGTGCCATAAGAACAAACTACTACCCACATGCCCACATCTACCCAAAATAAATATACTACCTGAACATTGCCTTGGGATGATTTTCATGAATCGTCTTTCCCAGCAACTTGCATGTCATGGTCCATAACTCATAGAAACTTGCTTGTCGTTTTCCGAGATGTTAGCTGGATTAAATCCCTTACAGTAGCCCAAACCGAGGCTGGTCACACTCCCAACGCTCTCACACTCGGCTTTCCAACGCTCTCGAATGTTCGCCTCTGGCAGGTCCTGAACAAGGCCAATCCCTCTGACTCACTAACATGGAAGTGGAAAACCCCTTGTTGGTAGAGGAAAGTAGTCCTCCAAGGGACCATTTTCCACTTCGATGTTAGTGAGTCAGAGGGTATCTCTCACATGTCCTGGAATGAACATGAACTGCCACGAACTGGTGTGACATACGAGCTGGACACGTGGCTGCTCAAAACTCCAATGGAAACGCTGAGAGGTGGCACCCTATCGTGCCAATGCCGCCTCAAAAAACACCGCCAATTCCTTTCCACACCTAGCATCGCCATTTTGCAGGTCGTGACATGCGGTGTGACATTTCTCCCCGGTCGAGAAATGCGAAGACGGGATTTCAACTGCCCCAGCGGTGGCGTCCAAGCTGGGCCTCCTCGTCGATGGTAGGGTCACCTTAGGCTCCGTGTGCCCTTGATGATGCAATGAGCGTCTCCCAAACAAACATGCACGTAGATCATAAGCGGCAAATTCTTGAACATTCTTGAACTATATGTTCAAAAACGAAACACATGTTCCTATTCCTCGGAAGGTTCTATCGTCAAAAACGCCCATTGACCCAGGGGCTGCAGTGAGAAGCTTCGACTCTGACCTGACCATCTCGAGAATCCCGACTGGCTTCACTGTCATCTTCAGATTCACCGCCCTCCTCGTCCATCTCCTCGTCGCCTGTCCGACCTCCGCGCAGCGCTTTGCCGCGCCAAGCGCAGAGCGCAGGTGCCACGGGGACCGGCCGCGAGATCCGTATAACCATCGCGTGCACCAGTTGAGAAGTGCATCAAGCCATGAGCTGCAAAGGGCAACCCAAAGTAGCAAGAAGGTCTTCTATTTACAGTAATTCAGTGATTCATTCAATTGTTTTCATTTAGAATTCATTATGTTCCAGGAGTCCAGCCATCAGAATCATCTGATTCCACGCGATCGTCAGCCGCTGCCTCCAACAGGGATCTGATGCCAATGCATAGCATTGACAAACAGCAATGCTATACAGCATATAACCGTGAATACCTGTGAGGTTTCGTATGTCTGAAATAAAGGAAACCAAACAACATAATGTTGCTGAAGAATTGATGTGTCAACATGTGCCAACCAATTGTTATTTGTCACTAGCAAATGAACCCTGGAAGACTTGCTGACTCGCAAGCATCCCAGCATCGATCTGCAAATCCCACCGCATGGATCTAGCTGCACTCCTTTTCCCCGATCGGCCTCATGACCACACATGAAGTTTACACTTGTTTTACATCCAACTTCATCGCAACGGTTTCTCAGCTGCATGAGTATCAATCTATTTTAAGGGCCTGTGATCTGTGTGCGCGCATCGTTTTGCGTCTATAAGCATTCATATGTTGTTCTTTCTGCCCATGCCATTGGCCCAACAATCCATTGCCTCCATGACGCTACTTGTATTTTGATTGCTGTGAGCCAAACGCTGCGCAGAGTCGCAGCGGGGCGGCTGGCCCGGCGTTCGTTCCGGCGGCGTGTGACACCCACCGGCGCGTAGAAGCACATCCAACCGCTGCCTTGTAGCGCGATCTCCGACTGGCCGTCTCTGGCCGTCTGGCGATGCAAATCAGCCACTTCATTGTCCGGCGCCAATGCAGGTCAAAGAAAAGTACTTTAGATGTAGTTTGTCATTGAGTTCTTCCTCTGAAGAACCAAGTGTTTCACGATGTTGGCTCAGGGTGGCCATGTCCCAATGTTCAAACCAAACCTGCAGCCCCTCAGTAAATGACATTGGCTGGCTCTTCAATTTCCAGCCCTGTGTCTACACAATCAAAATCAATTAAACAAGCGGTCATGTGTGGGGATTCATTCTCAGAGTCGGAATGTATCGTTTGCCAGTTGCACCACCTCAAACTTGCATGTTTACAAGGTCATGGACTTACATCAGCGCACCTGAATTCCCTGCAAGTGCTGTTAAAGCAAGCATTCTGCAGTGTTTCTGAGCAAACTTCTTGCTCTTCCTAATCACCGCAGGAAACATTATGTGAATTCAAAGTGCCGACAGCTCAGCGTATTCTGAGCTATCTGCCAAGAAACGAGAAAATCGGCGCAAATAGAAACAATTGGAATTCAATCTTCAACACTCAAGACTCAAGGCTCATGTTCACAGCTGGAGAGCTCTGGGCCTTCACCTACGAAACAAGAAGTGGGCACCGAACGAAGAAACGGGGTAGAACAACGATGAAACATCCATGTCCAACTGCATGTTGGATTTTGCCCTCTACTCTGAAACCACTGTATAAAACAGTCCCTAAGAAACTGCGACCATCCATATCCATCCATATCCATCCATTCACCTGGTACTTCTTGAAGCTTCCGAAACTCGCCTGCAACATGGCGAAACCTGCCTGCTTTGACCCCATGGCACCTTGGCTCAGGAGGGCTACCGCGTTTCGCCACCCATCTAACAAAGGAGTGGGAACGGCCACGGAAGGTGAACGGAGATCACTCAAACATGCCCAACCTATCAGCGTTTGGAGCTCCAAAGAGCTCTGGGGATCTTGACGTGCACAGCCGAAGTCCTTTTTCGAGACGTCGCCGACCTGTCTCCCTCGGAGAGTTCACTCGGACGTCTTTCCGAAAGCCAGTTTCTGACCATCATCCTGCCAGGCTGCAAGGAGTTGACCAAATCGAACACACCTTCGGAGTTGAAATCCGCCCGCTCTGCCTGGAGCACGGAGCACACAAGCTGGTGTCGCGCACTCGAAACGCATGGCACAGATCTCAAGCTGGTTGGCGCGGTGAAGAGAGGATGTGAGATGACAAGGTGTTTCCCAAACAAACATGGATCCTTTTGCGGATCAAATATGTCAAATCTTCACCCGCGGAAAAAAAGAGTTGCCGACTAACCATCGATTGATGGACAAAAACGGGTGTGCCGACTCGCCGACAGCGCGTTTTCCGTCTCTTTCTTGAAGTAGTTGTTTTTTCGCGTTGGACCACACGAACCTCGAGCTCTTGCAGCCGTTGCCAACATTCACCCAGCGCCAAGCGTAAGGCCTGGAAGGGATGAGAAGATCCACTCTGTCGTGACCAGCCACGCGAATCGCTGAACTCAGCCAAGTGAGCCACAAGTGAAGCTGCCGATTTTGGTCTCACCACTAGTGAAGCATCCAACTAGACATCCATCCGTCTCGTGACCAAATCGAGTATCGCCTCGTTCTCTTCCAGGACATCCCTTGGCTTGGGGTCCTGTGAGGCTCAAGACTGGAATACGGCATGCAGGGGCGGCCGTGAATGCCAAACAAAGGACTGGCTTGGAAAACTCCCGTGCTCTATATTTGTAGCTGTTCGCCAATCACGGCTAGAGCTAACAACTATGAGTATAAGTGTACATAATCGATTTTAAAAGTTTCCGTGCCCTCTTGGTCTGACAGGCTACAGGCTACTTCTCTTCAATTCTCATGAAAGCAAGCCTCGCACACAAAACTCCTCTTCAATCGCCTGGAACTGGGGCGACCGTATGGGCTTACACCTCACGAATCGAGTAGGATAGCGCCAATGGCCGCTTCTGAAGGGTGAGTCCACTATCACTGCGAGAGTGATGGACTTGGGGATGCAATCATTCTTCAAGGAGAGCTTGCTTTGCCATGATTTGCAGAGTGATCATTCCAAAATAGTGATCATGACTGCGATTTGCCGCATGGTGCCACAGAAAAAGGCCTCACACCAAGGGCTCTGGGCACCAGATTAGGACTTTCCACTTAGGGTTGCCACTGAGGATGCTCGTCATCTGCAATGCTGAAACACCTGCAGGGTCGAACCAGCCAAAACTGCCGGAATTGGCCCATGGCAATGCCAGTGAAAACCATTTCGATTGAAATCCGAAGCATCATGAGGCCAAGTACACATGGCCAGTGAAGTGTGGCACAGCAACACATGGGACCTGTAGGACTCATTTCGTCCCTGACATTTGCCCAAACTTGGCTATTCTTCTTATACCCACCGCGCACTGCCAGAAAGCTTTTCTAAAGAAACGAACAGGTCATACATACGGTCATATTTACCCTTGTGTAGATAACCCAAACTTGATCGAGGTGCCTTTGTGCAACAATTGAGCGCGCTTGTTTGTGCCATCTGCTCTTAGCCTTTGTTTCGCTTGTTGTTTTTGGATCCATCTGTTTGGCGGCGGAAGCCCTCTCCATGATTCTTGAGGTGTGGACAAAGTGGAAACATCCAATGACATTGTCAGATCCCGATTCCGCAAATAGTCATCGATGGCATCGTTCTTATATATAGTCTTATCGGATCTAATCAGCAAAGAATGGGACACAGGAATCGAACGCAAGTTGTGGCATTGAATTTCTTGGGTCCTTCAAGCTTCCCGACATTGGCGGTTCGTCCTTGGTCGCCTGAGCGAAGAAAAGCAAGCGATGCTGAGCCGCAGCTCTAAGCTGTGACTTCCGGGAATGGGTCGCCATAGGTAGGACGAATTGCACACCCTGCAAGAAAGAAGCAATTCTACACTCCCTGAATCATCATGGACGTGGAAAACCACCTGTTTGTGGAGGAACAAGGTCATCCAAGGGGCCACGCCAGAATGTTTGCAAAACTGCTTCATTCACCTCCTGCATCCTCCTGTCATGCCGCTGCCCAACTATTCATAATTACGCAGTTTTTGAGTTTAATACCCACTTGTGGCGTCTTTTCAACGACTCGGTTGCCTTGACCAACCACAACGGTGTGGACCCATAAAGCACTTTCTTAAGTGACTTGGTCCCTGGACCGACCCTGCGATACATGAACCTCCCCCTGAGTCTCCAAGGGTCTGGCTCTCAGGTCTGGGTGATGACCCAAGGCAGCCTGAACACATGACACAGGTGGGGTCGGCACACCGTGTCGACGTCCCACGCGTCAAATCACAAACGGGACCCAACGGTGTTGGGGTGTTGTTTCCAGGGCAACAAAACCAAACAAAACCCAAACCCTAGGGATCCAAGCACCTTCTCAGAAGATGATTGGAGGCACTGTTATGTAGGTTTGGAGGGTCCAAGTACCTTCTGAGAATGTACTTGGATCCCTAGGGAAATGCAACAAGACCTCACACATCCCAACACGACGTCCTACGATGTCCCATTCCTCTTTCGAAATGAACTCCGAAGACAGCTGGTCGTGACAGCTGGGACGGATGACTGAGCAGCACACGAGGCGGATGAAGATGTTGCACCAATGATTGTAGCGCAAGCACACGCACCCCTAGAGTATGAAGCCATTGGCCCTGGACTGGCCCTGGCTGGAGAGAAAAAGAACTGAAAGCATTCCCCAGAGGAGCAGATCGCACAAACTTTTCCAAAGACGGCATCGATGGCATAGCAGGCATAGCAAGACCTGCATGTCACTGCGTGCCCTCGGCTCCGAAAACCATCAAACCTTTGGATGGCTTCACTATGTTTCACAAGTATTGGCCATCACGGTCAGAATTCCATTTCCCATCACATTAAATCCTCGAGCATCTAAGCTGGAACACTCTTTGACATATCCCTGGAATTTCTAGAATGGGCCGCGGTCACAGTCAATGCAGCCTGACCGGTTGACCAAGGACGCTTGCACATGGGGAGATGCCCCGGGGAAGATTGGGCAATGCCAGGCAATGCCTCCTGCAACAAGCATCTAAAGCTTAAAGGGCTGGGGCTGTCAGCGTGAATCTGACCCCTCAGTCCATGGTGTCGAGGGCCACCACTTGGGCCTCAGTTCATGTCCAAGGTGGTGGCTTCATGAAGGTCACTTCTTCCGACAAACCAAACCTCATGGGCTCACTCTTCTGAATCCTTTTGAATCAATGCTACAGTAGACTCTTGATTAATAAACCCCCCATATGAGGAGCATGTCCAATTCAAATGGGAGGGTTTAGGGTCCTCAAGAGTCTAATTACAGTTGTAGATACAGGTAAACGACCGAGAACTACCAACAAGTCGCACCTGG